AAAGGAAAGTGGGGTGCTGGGGAGAAGCTCAGGCTTCTCAAGTTGTTAGGGGTGCAGAGAGGCTTTGGGGGTCCTTCTCACCTGTAACTAGCCCGGCCCCTACAACTGAGCCTGGTAAAGGAAAGGTCAAGAAACCCATGTTAAGTGGATGAATTTACAGGTATTCTATGTGCTTACAGGCTGGGCTGGATGCGGAGGAACTGAACATTAGGCAATAAAAGGAAATTCAGTGTAATAATGGATCCTTCCTTGTATAAGAAGAAAACATCTGCAGAGCACCGACCTCCGACACCCAGGCTCACCGAGGGTGTCATCCCTGCGTCTCATGATAAAGCAACATTAAACCGTAACCTAGCTGGCAAACCACTGTTCATGGGCTAAGCTGAGCCAAGAGTTGTTTTTATACAACCCAAGAACTAAGAATTTTTTAAAAACATCTTTAGAAGGTTATGACAAAGTAAATATAAAACATGTCAGAAACCATATGTGACCTGGCAAGGCAAAAATGTTTACTATCTAGAACTTCATAAATAGTTTTCTGCATTTTGTTTTACAGAACTATCAAGAATGTGCTTCTGAAATTGCTTTTAGTCTAGGATGCACATGGCTTGGACTTGCTTTAAATTATCAAGAGTATGGCGACTGTGGAATATCTGGCCTGAAAGACACTGGGAGCATCGTGCAGTCATATACACCCTCGATGCTTGATGTTCCCTACCATAACCGTAGAGGAGCCCCACGACACTCATTTATTTGTAGAGTTTACATTCACACTTCTTTATGCCAGCTGGTTTTGCAAGCATTTTCCTACATGTTCTTCTGATTAAAGTCTTGTTTTATTTTGAAAGACAGGGTCTCACTATGTGGTTCAGGCTGCCCTTGAACCCACTATGAGGCCAGGCTGGCCCCAAATTTTCAGAGATCCTCCTGCCTCAGCTACCCAAGTGCTAGAATGATAGGCATATACCACTACATCCAGCCTTTTTCTGTTTAAAATCTTTCAGTGCAACCTAGAAGGTCTAAGAGAGGCACAATCATAAACTTCCTACATCAGTCCAATTGGTGTCACGATCAGAGGGATTTGTTATGGCCTCTGAATGGACTTGGAATCTAGGTGTGAAGACGTGACCTGGTGACCTCTCTTCTTCCACTGATCTAAGACGTTTCTGGTTACTGTTTAATTTCTCTTCCACTCTCTCTACTCTCCCTCTCTGATTCCAGTTATACCTGGATTAGATGCTTGATAACTCGGACTCTCTCACTATGCACAATCCTTTATCTCCATTTTTGGATTCAAGGTCTATTCCTCTGTCTTCAAGTTCACTGTTTTTTTTTTTTGGTCATCTCTAAACTACTGTTAGATCCACAATGTGAGCTTTTCTATTTTCTAATCCTTTTACTTCATGTTTTAGGTCAGCTTCTATACCCGCTGAGGTTTCTTACCTATGTCGTATGTTATAGCCTTTCTTATGTGTTTGAGCATAGTTACAATAGCTGCTTTCCACTCCTTGTCTCATAATCCTAAAATCTGTGTCATTTTAAATCAGTTTCCATAAATTGCTTTCTGCCCAGTATGGGTTTATTCCTTTACATGCCTACTAATTTTTTTTAATTCTTTTTTTCTCTCTTTTCTCTTTATTGGTACTGGGGATTGAACTCATGATCACCTGCTTGCAAGGCAGGTGCTTATGCTACTGAGCTAAATCCCCAGCTCCTAATTTTCAATTGTATCCTGAACATTTTCAATGATACGTTAGTTAATATATGTAGTCTGAACTTTCTAACAGTACCATGCAAATGGTAAAAAGAAATAAATTTAATTTTAATAATGTATTTTAAGGCTGTTGCTGTAATCTCAGTGGCAGTCCATGTTCCTAGCATGTGAGACCCTAGATCTCATCTCCAGCATCACACATACACATATACACACACTTTGAAAAATTTGACCCAAGGTGTTAAGAGCATAATTATCTTGGATGACTATAATCATGCAATCACATTCAAAATTATTAATATTTTATAATCCTAATTACCTAATCTTAAAATATTACTGTTTATAATCTTTACAATCTTTTAATACAAAGATTTGCAATCTATTTCTTTGCATACATAGCCCATGTTTATTTGAACTAGCCCCTGCCTACCACACTAAGCAGTACAACACTAGAACATCATTACTGAACAATATGGAACTTTGGTTTTGGCAGGCAGCAAAGTTGGCTAGAACTAAACTCTAAACACTGCTGCTCATGCTAGGCAGCAGCACCAAGCTCAGTTTAGCCTTTCTGCCTCAGTGTGTTCTATGAAGTCTGCCCTGCACTTATTTGGTCCTTAGAAACTGGGCCAAATATGGTATATATGGGATTTGGGAATCCTCCTCTGTGGCTCTTTTGTATGATTTTTTTTCCTCCTTGATTTCCAGGTCGCCCTGAATATTCTCCTCTGGCAGGTAACTAGTGAAAGACAAGAGCTATGGTTTCCATTTAGGTGTCCCCCGAAGTCTCATGTGGTCGTAGGGTTTTTTCCGGAGGTGGCTGAGTCTAGAATGTGTGACTGACTTGTAGTGAATACTGGGATGAAGGGTGCTGGGATTAAGGATGGGTGGCTGCTGGATCAGTCCACGTAATGAATTGGCACCACCCTAATCCTGGTAGATTAGCTATCATGTAAGAGACAGGAGAGGCTTGGCTCTTCTCTCCCTCTCTTGTTGCTTTTTGCTATCTTCCACCATCATGAACAACCAGTTGCCCCGCTGCCATGAGTCGCCCTGCCTTGGAGCCAGAAGTTTCTAGTTTCTATAAACTAAATAAATCTTTCCCCTTTTATCTTTGGGTGTATTTTATCTTAGCAATGAGGTAGTATCCAGGACAACAGGCAAGTCTCTATTAGAGTTTGTCCACCTCTCAGGTCCAGTGAGGGCCTCATGTAGTCAACAAACTGTCAACAGGGGAAATTCATTCAGTGCCATTCTATTCTCCTATTTATCTACTTTGCCGGTTTCTGGCTGCTACGTGCATGTGTGTGCTCTGGTACTGGAGCGCACACACACACACACACACACACACACACGCATAATTGAGAATGTAGAAAATCTGATTCTTGGATGGCTCCCTAAGGTATTTTTTTACTGCCATGCTGTTGAGCCCTGGCAACCTCTCCTGCCAGGTCCCCTAACCTACTCTCTGCACACGTCATGAGATCCTGGCCATCCTTGGTTCAGAAGGAGGAGATGCTGTGGCCTATCTGCCTGCTGAGTCTCTATACTGGCAAGTCCTTCCACCTTTGGCCCTTTGGGTGTGGCTGTCTGACGGCTGACTGACTGGTAAGTTTGAGGAGACGTGGCTTATACACAAGATCCTCCCCCAGAGAGCTCTTCCTTAAGGCTTCAGCATTAAGCACCCTTTCATTTTCACTCTTCCGTAGAGCACATAAAATCAATGCAGGTCTAACTGTCTGGCTCTCCCTCTTACCGTCTCTCATTTAAACACGTTAAGAATACGAAAAAGCACAGAGCATTGGTGCCAAAGCCAAACACTTTGGGAAACTCTTGCATCAGGCAAGTGGTGCAAGTTGAGCTTAAGGAGTTTAAACATGTTCACATTAAAAGTCTAGCCAAAATGTGACACACAGAATCACAGAACAGGAGCCATTTACCTCAACTCATGGCTAATAAGAGGCCAATGGATGCCATCACACTACACAGCACAGGCATGGTATCATGCACGGGCCACTCCAGGTACCTGAGATCAAAGGAACCCGGGTACCTAGCCCAATGCCCTGCACTGCAGGATGGGCAGCCAGTGCAGGAAGTGCCCAGGACTCAGCAGCCAAATGATTCAGAGGAACACAGGAAAATATCAAGATGATGGAGCAATGTTCAATTGCAGACCTCCAGTGCACTCAGAGCAAGGTCAGGAGACACAGACACAGAAGAAACTAGAATTCACATACCTGAAATTTCTCAAAGGACAGCAACTGAAATAAACAGACAACTTTGGGCTCACATTGTTTAACTTTGCATTCTTATATCTGGTAGTCTGAGCAACTATTTACAGGCTAACAATGTGCAATATAGCAACTATTTTTGATTTCCTACTGTCTTGTTTTTGAAATCCAAGATTGTTCATAGTTTTATTCTAAGTAAAAAAATAATTAAAATAGAAAATGGAACAAGCTGAGACATCTAATAAAAGCAATAACTACTTAAAATATACAGTGAGTGCTTAAATTAAAAAATTACTACAGTAAAAAACGCATTTTCATTAATCCTACTCAAAATATTCCCTCTCCCTCTAGACACTTACCCTACTTCTCTTGTCACTTGTAGAAGCAGCACTGTAAGCCTTCTTTTGTGATGCCTTTAGGAGTTATAAAAATATGATGGCTGTCACTGCACAGTGCCACTCAGTGGAAAGGCAGGCTTGTAAAAGCAGTACAGTGTGTCCTCACTGCCCTCATGCACCAGAGCAGGCACTGTGTGACCTCTGGCTTTCTCCAAAAGTGAAAATACAAGAAAGAAAGATGGTCTGAGTTGCTTCAGGACACTGAGGTAGCAACCAAAGACATTCAGGAAAGAGTTATGCCAGAACTGTTTCAGAAAATGGCATGAATAATGGGATAAGTGTCTTTGAAGCAACAGGGAGTATTCACAAGGGAACTGATGGTCATGTGCTTTTCACCGTGAGAGATTTTAAAGATTTGAATACTTACTGTGTCTTTTGTCCACACTATGCTAGGCCATACCATCTAGGTTTGTATGAGTACATACAATGTACTCATGTTTGCACAGTGATGAAATTACCTAATGATGCACTTCTCGCAGTATGTCCCTGTCACAAAATGACATGACTCTTTTGAGCAAGGAGAAATTACTCAGCAACAGTAACAGAACACGGCAGAGAACAGTGCTTCCGTGTTAACTGGGTCCCACCATTTCTCCCTATTCATGGTGCTGCTGCCCCCGACCTAGTGGATCCAAGACATAGAACACAGCCCCTTACCGTGACTGGCACGGGTGTGAGTTGCACCTTCGGACCTGGGGCTCGGGTCGGCTTGTTTGAGGACAGTCACTGTCATTCACCAGAGTTGTGGTTTTGTTAACAATCCGTGTGCATGACACGATGGTTCTGCGTTCCCCTGGAAACCAAGCACAGGGAGCTGAGAGGCTGTAGCTGCAGATGTCTGCAGAGGCCACTGCATCACACGCATGGAGGAGCATTCAGGAGAGACTACTGACCAGTGCACCAGAGGAAGGGAACTGTGTACAACACGCTGGGACAGCTTGGGCTAGGACAGTTTGTGCAAAAAGATAGGAAAGCAGCAATGCCTCAGATCAGCTAGCTGTGTCCTTGACAGTGCAGAGTTCACTGAGGCTGAAGTTCTGACTTGGATCTGTTATTTCCACCAATGGTTGCCAATTCTTTGATCTGTGCACTTAATGCTTAAGGTCCAGCCTTACCATAGAGTATGGCTGCATGTTAGAGGGTTGCTGCTTGCTGGGGAGAAGTGAGGAACAGGACAGCCATGGATGAAGGATGCACAGATCTGAAGCCCCCAGCAGCCCTCCAGGGCTGACCTGAACCTGTCTACTTAGCCAACTGATGCTAAGCACTATCTTCCAGGAAAGAGCCTTTCCTATGAGCGGCCTGAACACTGTGTGGCTGTGTGGCCACATGCCGTGACTTTTTTAGGGCGGCTGAATGACTGGCAGTTAGGAGGGGGCCACTGGAGCCAGGATATCTGGGTTAAGTCTTGGCTTTGTCACTAACAGTATCACAATGACCACAGCGTCAGAAGTTTGCTGCCACACTTCTGGGTCTCAGTTTCTTCAAGTAGGCTGGTTTAGTTAACCTTCCTGTGTCTGAGCTCTTTTAAATATTAAAATTAATTAATACATATAAGATGCCTGAAACAGAAGATGGCAGGCAGGCAGGTAACACTTCATGCTAGGATAAAGGGAGTGTGTCAGAAAGAAGCACACAGTAGGAAGATGGCAGGGATCATGGTGGACTCCAGAAATGATGCCAACTAGCCGGGGGTTGCTGGAGGAGAAGGCCAAGAACAAACAGAGAGGGCAGTTAGCCGAGGTGTATGGGAAAACTTCATAGTTGACCTTGGCGTGTCTGCTTGGATAAGTGGGGCGGTGCCTGGGTTCTCCATCATCCCACAGTCGCAGGTGGCACCCAAAGTCCTGTTCAACCTTTCACCCCAGAGCTGTGCCTGTCACACTGCACTGTCCCAAGGGGCTGCTGGCTGAGGGTTTAGAAAGGCTTTCTACTGTGCCTCGCCAACAATTTGGTAATGAATACCTTTGGCTTGTACTGATTCTTACAGTTTGGCTCATCCTACAATCTCTAGGACATGACAGAGATGAACTATTTTAGAGGTGAGGAAATCAGCTGTAGAGAGGGGGAGTCATTTGCTGAGGTTGGGGGAAGTTACAGAGTCAGGAACCATTCACGGAAGGTCCTGGCACCTGATCTGCAGAGATCTGCCATGGGATGTGGCTAAATTCTCATGGAAATACAGGTTTCAAACTTCCCACACTCTGTGCCTGGTCACAGCTCCCCGTTTCTTTTCTCAGCAGCTCCCCACACCCACTAGCCCCCCGCCTGGCTGCTCACCTCCTCCGCACTGCACGCTACACCCTTCCCAGCCGCTGTGGGTCCAGAGGAACAGGGCGTCCTGGGGCTTGGTGGGCTCACTTTGATTTTCAGCAGTGGAGTTCACAGGAATAGTGTATTCATAATGAATTCCGTAATTCTGGTCATGAAATAACAGCACCTGGATCAGTGGAAAATCAGAGGGCCATGTTAAGATGGACCAAAATTCCACAAAGTTGCTAAAGTGTGCAAACCAAGTCACACTGAGACTTTCTACTGAGTTTGCTCTTTTTTTCTGAGGAGGGGGTACAGAACAGGTTCAGTCTAGGGGTGCTCATTTATCTCCATTATGGAATGTTCAAGCACCTAGTCAGGGTGGTGGATGAGTGTACGCCATCACTGGGGAGTTCTCTTCTTTCCTATCCCCAGAGAGGACCAGTTCAGATGGGGAGTTTGGGGTGAGCTAAGTGTGGGTCCTTGGTGGCACTCTTTCCAGAGAGCTGTTCCCCATGGAAGAAATTGCACATCCCCACACGTGGAAGAAGCTGTCCTTGCAGACACGGAAGACACAAATGTACAGCTTTTTCCTAGACAAACACACGAGCAAGCAGGGCCACCCTGCTCCTTCAAAACAGAGCACTCCATCCACTCCCCCATCACCCGTTGCTGCCAAGTCCGTTGGAACAGTCAGGCTCTACGGCAAAATACAGCCCATTGAAGGGATTTGGGGGGACATTTGATTGAAAGTCCAAGCAAGTGAGAGCCTATTACTGTGAGAGTCAGCCCTTAAAGTTGAGTAGGGTGAGGCGCAGAGAGGGGGTTCTATCATATTTCATGGGAGCCATCATGTGGCTTTTGAAATCCTAATGGGTATACAGAACCCAGGAGGCTGTATGGTCTGCAACTGTCTCTGTCAAGCCTTGTAGGGCCACCAGGTGCACCACTGACTTTACTTCCCTAGTCATTATGGAGCACAGCACACCACCCATAGGACAATAAGGTGGCTTGGAGGTGGACGCTGAGTCTTCAGGCTAAGCTTGAGGCCAAGGAGAGCTCCTGGGCTAAGCAACTAGCAAGTGCACTTCCAGCCAGAGGCCCTGGAGAGGGGCAGGCCAGGTCAAAAGTATGCCAGACAACAGGGGCCACCTCCTCACCTGCTCTCAGGGGCCTCCAGTGGGGCAGGGAGCAGCAGTGCTAAAAGCAGACCAAACTGTAAAAACATCTTCAACAAACAGACTTGTACTACTGCATTTGGAACAGTAACTCCAGTTTTAAAAAGAATTAGTATTTAAGAGATCTTTATTATCTCAGTGTAGGAATAAGACTGGTGGATGGAGAACCCATATGAAACCAATTTTATGTAATTTTGTAGCCACGTACAATTGGTGTGTGCATGTGTGTAATTGGTTTCAAATGCAGGTCCCTGGGACTCTTGGTGTTCCTCCTTCTGCAATTAACATGCAAAGCACTTTGGGGACAGTGGCTCTGTACACAGAAGCAGAAGGGCACACCTAGTTTCTAGGTTTAAAAATGTAAAGTGACAATCATATTTCAAAATAGAAATATAATTAATATTAAACAAGGGCTGAAACTACAGCCGTGCAAGACTTGCTTCCTCTGAGTTTTGTGTATCATGCTCTGAGTGGCTCAAGGCCGGGTATTTGCTTTAACGGGCTGAAAATCTGCTCAGTTTACAAAAGCTCTTAGTAAAGAAGGGAAAGGGGTGCAAACTCACATGCTGATAGGTGATGTTTCTGTATGCATTTTTTACCTTGTCTTCTGCCTCCTCTTTTTGCCTAACTATCTGCTTTTAGCTCAGAGTAGGAAGATTGTTCTAACGACTCTGACCAGGAAATAATTTCATCTTTTGGCACAGGTTCTTGGATCTCAGAAATCTACTTGCAGGAATAATATAGCATTGGATTTAGTGAGCTTAGTGCTGCACTGGCAGATTTCCATGGAAACTGGCTGGCTTTCGTCTCACTAGAAACAGTAATGGGGTTAACGCCATCATGGGGCAATGCCTGCACTGGGTGCTGGTGGTCATGGGCAGGGCTCCAGGAGACTCTGGGCTGCGGTCAGGAAATCCGTTAGGTGTCACCTAACCTTGAACAACTGTAGGCTGCCAGAGATCACAAATTAAGAGGCAAGGGAACTTGTAAGTAGAGACTATGGCAGAAACTGAGAACGAAGTGTGCTTTGATGACAGGTGCACACGCTGCCACACATTCTGTCTTTTGGAAGGAGACAGGAAATCAATAACTATCAATAATTAAAGTGATCAGAAGCTAACCATAAGAACTCTTGGAGCTTGAGAAAGAAACAATGGGATGAGTTGCCCTGAGGTCTGTCTTATGTTTTAAAAGGATAGACAGCCAGCATTTAAGTGGCCTGCACTGAGTTCTCCAGGAAGCCCTACTCAGGCCCAGCTAAGCAATTTTCTGGTGATCTCCTTGGAAGTAATCACACCCATGGACCTGATTGTCCTCCCCGACTCCCACATGCTTCCCACAAGCCAAGTCTGTCAAATCTGTGTGTTGCTGCTCTGGACTCCAGAGTCAATGGTCCATGCCCAAAAGATAAATTTTTACTATGGGGCAGAATGATGCACTGCAGCAGCTGATATAGAAAGCCTTTGAACAGAGCGGTCTGCTGGATGATGCCAGCTCTGCTTGGCTGCCACATGTGCAGCTGAGCACTTCCTTCTCAGAGACAGCGCCTTTGGAAGATAGGACCTCTTCAAGTGCAGAGCCAGAAGGTGGCTTTGAGAGAGTTCTGAGGCACTGGGGTGGAAGGGATTAGATGACCAAAGACGGAAGAAGCAGTGTGAGCATCAGGAAGCCGGTGGATCCCAATCTCTCCTGCCTTCTAGCTGATCTAGAAGTAACCCAAGTGCAACGAGCCCAGCAAGTTACCATGAGATGCAGTGGAGTTTTGGTTGGTCCCTTGGCAGAAATCTTCTCCCACAGCCCCCTTCTCACGTAGCGGACGGTCGTGCCTGCAATCTGAAACTCTCCTGGGAGCTCTATCTTCCAGTCACTGTTGATGGATCTCTTACTGGAGTCTTTGAGAGCTGGCAAGGAGATTGAACACAGAGGAGTCAGAGGGTGAGGATAGGGGCCAGCCTGTCCTCAAACAGAAGCTGGGTGCCCTGCATGGGCCAGAGGTCTCTCCTGCTCGAGGGAAGCAGGAGAGCCTGCAGTGAGAGGAGCGCTCTCTATGCTAGTACAAGTGAAGTCCAGTTTACAGGGAGCAAAAGACTCTGGGCTAACAGGAGAGCAGTAGTTGAGATGCATGGTGGCATCTTTTAAAGGGCTGCTCGTTTCAAACCCAGCTCAGAGAGCGCCGGTGGGAAAGGCAGAGAGGACAGAGTTAACCACAGCCCAGTCACACTGTACCCCACCTGCCCACGGAAAGGGTTTTCTGCCCAGTAAATTAATTCTGCTCTAATATGTCCAAAGCTATAAAACAGGTTTTGCTGTGTTAGCAAAATTCATCCACTCATTTTAAAAAAACTTTTTAAAAATGTGGCAAACATGTATTAGCTGCACATTTTATTTGGGGTCTGTGTGATATTTCAGTAAATTCATGCAGCATGCACTGATTGAATGAAGTTTCCTGTTCTCTATTACCTCCGTCACCCCCACGCCCCATCTCAAGTAATCACTGCGCTACATTCGGGTCAGTGCTTTTCTTAAAATGTCCATGTATGAAAGAGAACATAATTTGTCTCCCTCTGTCTGATTTATAGCTTTTAATTTAATGTCCTCCAGTTTCATCCACTTTGCTGCAAATGACAGCCCCCCTGCAAATAGGTAAACAATTGGAACAGACATGTCTCAAAAGAAGAAATACAAATGGCCAATAAATATATGAAATAATGCTCAGTATCATTAGAGACCAGAGAAATGCAAATCAAAGCTACCAATGAGAACTGTCTCACCCCAGTAAGAATGACCATTATATTTTAAAAAAAGTGACAAATGCTGGCAAAGATGGGGGGGGGGTTTGCTGGTGAGAATTGTACTTGTACAGTCATTATGGGGAGCAATGTGGAGGTTCCTCAAAAGACAAACCAGGTCAACCATAAGATGTAGCCAGTCCACATCCGGATATGTATGCAAAGGATGGGAAGTTGGCACACCCAGGGGACACCCACATGACCACATCCACCATGGCATGCTGTGCTACAGAATCAGCCTTGGTACCAATCGGACTCTGCAGGGATAATCAAACTGCGGTGTATGCGCACACACTGGAATGTTATTCAGATGTAAAAGGAAATGAAATGACCCATTCATGTTATTATTTCCTAGCTGGGGCTTTGGAAATAGGGGGCTGACACTCCCACACTGATCCAGCGGCTCTTCCTTCAGGAACCAGTTGTTATTCTGTTAGACATTTATGCTTGGAAACCCTCGCTGCTTACAGATGTGGCAGTAATGCATGGCCACTGCCTGGGGGGTAAAGTGGGGACTGATGATGGCAGACAGCTGCTCTCACACCCAGATCTGCTGGCTTACACCCCTGCTTCGGATGAAGTCCAGATATGCCGTCCACACTCTGCCACTTGGCCACGAGCACAAATGGGTTTTATATTCCCATTTGGATTGAAGTTCTATGTTTTCTTAAGGGGGACACCTGCAGTGAAACTATTTGTTTTCTTGTCACTGCTATGTAGGAAGAATACCCTGTAATTAATTAGAATGCATTCTGGTATTTAGGAGAAGACATTTCCAGAAGCTCTCAGTCCCGTGCCTAGTCTCTACATGTGCAGCTGGAGTCACCAATGCCCCATTTCTTCACATCACTTTGGGACCCCACTCAGTCTACAACCAACAAATTTAGATTCTATTTCTCTCACCAACACCTGCTCACCACAGAGGCTGACACTCAAATGCCACCTCCAACACTGACTGGAAAGTGGGACTCAAAACCAAGGAGGTGTCTCGGCTGGAGTTGGATTTCGCAGTCTTAGGCTAGGTCAGGACCCCAAGATTTAAGCCCTGTTGAGCCTGGAGAGAAGCCTGGCGGACATCAGCCATGGCACCACATCTCCAGAATACTCCAGGCAAACACAGGAGATGCCAGCTTAGGGCCCCTCTAGGGCAGGGCTGCTTTCCAGCACAACGACTTCCGGCTGGGGTTTCCATCCAGGGTGGCTGTGGATGGTGAGCGGTTAGGGGTTACAGGACTCCAGGGAAGGCTTCGGAAAGAGAGCACTCTACTACTTGGAACTGAATGTGTTTCCCTTCGAGAAATTCTACCCGCGGCTGAAATTTCCTGCCTGCTTAAGAGGTGAGAATGTGGGGAGACTCACAATTTCTTCTTTTATGCTTTTAGTATCACTACCTGTAAATCACTTGGTAAGGAACACATTTTCTGGTTTAGCTTTTTGATATACTATTACCCATTTAATCTTCCCAATAACCCTCTGGATTACGTTCCTCATTCAGATGAATAAATGGAGGCACAGAGAGATTAAGTAACTTGCCAAGAGACACATAGCTATTAAGTTGTGGGAGTGCAGACTGGAACCTCACAGATGAAAACTAATGTACATACTGCTCTGGCAGCTGTGAACGCCCCTGTTCTTTAAGTTAGAGCATCAGTCTAGACTTTTATGACAATGCTGACATGAGCAAATGTAAGACCTATTTTCAAAGAGAACAAATTCTAGCTCTTATTGCTACAAGCCCATGTTCTATCTCCCCTTACACAAGTAACTAGACTCACTGATCTTCAAAGCTTCCAGTGAGCTGAGCACCTAAGACCTATGGTGTGAACTCCTGGAGAATCCAGGTGAAGGCTGGACAGACCGTCACTTTCAACTTGTGTGTAAATCTAGAAAACTGTTTCTTACAGAAGCATGTGCATATTGGTTTGAGGAATCAGTGAAGGCCGGTGAAAAGCAGAAGACAGGAAACAAGACGGGGCAGAGTCCTCTCAGAAAACACGCAGGCTGGCTGTGGCACGCATGCCTGTAATGCCAGTGACTCAGGAGGCTGAGGCAGAAGGATAGCAAGTTCCAAGCCCAGGCTGGGCAAGATGGCAATGTCCTGTATCAAAGCGAAAAATATAAAGTTCTGGGGCTACAGCTCAGAGGTCAAACGCCTGTGAAGTAGGCGTGAGGCCCTGGGTTTAACACCTAACACTGCAAAAATGCAAGGAAAAGGAAGGAAGGGGAGGAGAGGGGAGGAGAGAGGGTGAGAAAGGAGGGAAGGAAGAGGAGGGAGGATGGAGAAGGAGGAGGGAAGGGGAGAGGGAGGGAATCTCAAAGGGACAGCTGGGGACACATACAGCACAGAAGCCGTGCCCCTGCCGGCCCCAGCCCTACTCTGAGGGTCTCCTGGCAGGGCCGGAGAGCAAGAGCTCCTGCTGTCGGGAAGCTTGGTTTGGAAGTGAGACCGAAAACTGGGAAACATGATCAGTGGCACACACTCCGCGGCAGAGCTGAGTCTGGGATCTACTCGGGCAGCAGGGGCAGAGGTGGCTGGGGACAGCGTATTTAGGAACCTATGAACACAGCAGGTTAGAGAGATAGAAGGGGCAGCCTGGAGTGCCCACAGGCACGGAAACAGGACCCTAGCTCCCCGCACGCAGGGAGTAGGGTCAAGGTCACTGTCCCTGGCAGGGAGGCAGAGGGAGCAAGGCACAGGATCCGGAGGGAGGAAGCAAGGGGAAGGGGCAGCACCCCCCCAGCAGTGTGGCTGGGAAGAGGAGGTGAGAGACAGAGGCAGCTGCTAGGGGAGAGGACAGCCGTGCTGACGCTGGGCAGAAGACACTAGGCACGGGGAGATGGCCGTGAGCAGGATGCCACCGAGGCAGGGCGCCACCCTGTCATGCTTGGCCCACTCTGTCAGTTACACAAAGACTGCAGGAGGCTGGGGCGGTTCCCACCCCCTTGAGACAGCAGCTGCCTGTCACTTGCACCCATGCACTGACGCTGACCTCACCTGCCTTGAGCTGGGGCTGTGGTTTGAAGTCACGGCCCCGACTTGTCCTGTTCTAAAGCCGGCCCTGCTAAGGGCCCAGCATACTTGCTAACCAGCATCTATTTCTCCTGCTATCAGCCACAGCACCCAGAGCCTCCCTTGGGGATGCTTTCTGTCCAATCCTATGAGGCCCTAACTCTACTCCAGCTCCAGATCTAGACCATCACCTGACCCTGGTCAGTTCACCTTAGGCAGAAGCAGCTCTTCTTCCTTAGGCTGGCCAGCGATGTGATCCAAGCCATTTCCTGGGTAGAGGCCCCAGGAGAGGCTGGGGTGCCAGGATATAAAACTTTCCTGTGATATCATTTCAAGCTCCTGGATCCAGAAGTACCTGAAGCTGGTGCTCAGCAACTGAGAACTGGTTTTGTCTTCCACGTGTGCCTTTTGGGGGTTGGTTGTTACACAATACTAATTGTGTTACAATTAGTTATGTGGGGTGGGATTTCTGTAAATCACCCCAGCAGCTTACAACACAAGCCTAGTATCCATTGAGATGCAAAAGACTTGACAAACTCTGGTCATGCCTTAAACTGTCCCCGAGACACCCAGGCTATAATGCTCTTACACGGTGGCTCTTTCCACTGGTACCCTGGCCCTTTTCGTAAGATGCTTCAAAGTGACTCACTGAATTATAAACTGACAACTACGCTGCTATACAGCAAAAGCCAGACATCTGGGTGGTCATGAGTGGGAAGGGCTGAAAGGGCAGGAGGGCACATCTGGAGCCCACTAGAGAACCACCCGCAGGAATCAGTTCAGCGTGGGCAGTGGGGAACTGGCTTCTGCCATCGGAGGTGTCACCATGGGAGGAGACACAGGCAACTCCAAGGGAAAAGACGGTGGTGGGGTCATTGTCCTCTGATCCCATGTAGGGCTTTGACCATCTGCATTAGGGTGGTGGAAGAGACACTCTAGGAGGTGGCCTACACTGCACCAGAGAGCTGTGACAAGGAACTACCGGATGGGACCTGATAAAGGCAGGTTTTGGCTAATGGGCACAGGTCAGTTGCTAAACAGGGTTGAATATGCTGGACACTGTGAGGATTGTTAGCCCTCAGCGTGGCGGAGTTCAAGGCATCCATCCCCTGCCATAGTGAGCAGGCACTGGACTGATGCGTACTGCACAAGGTGCCCACAGGGTCCCAAAGATGTTTGTCCCTGGCTAGGAGGTGCTGGTTTGCAGCTGCTGGGCTGGGGGTCCTCCACTTTGCCCAGTGGTTGCAGAGATGGGGAGGTCTTGTGGCTCCAGAAAGGGTAAGCTCTGTGTACCCAAGCATGGCTCACAGCTCCCGTCAGCTTTCAGGTACCAGAACTGCAGCCCTACAGCGGCCGCTCAGCCCTCGGGGCAGCAGCTCCCCAGGGCTCTCAGTCCTGCGTCTCTCAGTACAAGAACACAGAAGGAGGACTAAAGGTGGCCAGGTCAGCAAGGAGGAGGTCAGCTCCTGCAGGTGTGCGGGTTGCTTCCATCTCTTTGACTTTGCAGAGAGTAACTTAGCAAAATCTGCATGTTCCTGTAGCCATGCTGAAACAATCAGAGTTTACTGCTAAAACCGAGATTTAGCACCTGAAATTCTCTCAAAACAGTGAGACTTCAGAGAGTCTGTAGGGACATGAAAGGTAAAAATATTTCTAATTGGTCCATGTTTCATTAACCACTCTAAGACGCCCTTCATCTTAGACTTAGCTAGTCATCTATGGGCCAAGGACACCCAAGCTGTACACAGACTGACACCAGAGAGAGGGTTCTGGGGTGAGAGAAAACTGCTAACCAAGTCTCCCTGAGCCCTGGGAAGCCCAAAGGCTAAAAAATAACTACGAAGAGAAATATCGGGGGAGCAGAGCGCCACAGGTGTGGGAGGAAATAGATTGCCTGGGACAGACTGAAACCTGGATTCCAACCATGGGAGACGAGGGGAGAGCAGCCCGCGAGGCAGGAATAAAAACGCACAGCTTCTCGGCTGGGGTGCTCCAGGCCTTGTGTGGGGACCAAGAGTGTGATTATAAACCTCCCCGCTGCTGCCTCTGGACTCCAGTCTCCTTTTTTGGTTTGGAGGTAAACTTACTCCTATAACACCAAGAGAATCAATACTAGAGAACGAAAAGGTTCACTGTGGAATTCAGTGACACTTTGGGGGGCTGTTGCGTCGTCCCCCTACGTGGGACTGGGGCTAGAGTAGGGTTCGCCAGAGTCCATAAGGCTAAGGCTCCAGAGAACCTCTCTGCACGCCTCCTTTTTCTCAAAGGTCCTCCCTATTATAAAAATTCGCAGTTTTACAATTCTGCCTCGCTCAACTCTGAGGCATTGAGGTATATTCAAGTCCCCTTTCTTGTAGGAATTTTGAGGTTAATTTGCATATGAAATGAGGATTCAGAGACCCGGAATAGACTCCACAGAAGTGATCAACATGATGCCAGATGTTTGATTTCATAGGCAAATCACAGAGCTCAGAACAAGGGAATTCCTCTAGCGGCTTGGTTTTACCTGCATCATGTGAAGGGCTGATGTGCTGGGGAGATTGCGCCAGCTGCTTTTGCCTGGGCCAGCGGTTGGATTTTTTTTTTTTTTTTTTTTGATCTTTTTCATTTTTATTGGTACCGGGGATCGAACTCACGACCGCCTGCTTGCAAGGCAGGTGCTTATGCCGCTGAGCTAAACCTCTTGGGGTTGGATATTTTAAATGACTGTTAAAAAAAACCAACAGCACAGTTTTGCGGGTTTTGCTTAGAAGTCTCTCAACAGTAGTGGAGACTTTTGTGAGGCACTATGGGGGGTACGGGAGTTCACACTTATTTGTGATCATGGCACAACAAAATCTCCTCAATGGCCCAGAATGCAGGCCATGTGATGAACGCCTGTGTCTATCCAGGTCCTTCTTTTTGGTGCACATTTATACATCATCTTTAGGCTCTGCTGAGGAAGGTGGTGAATCCTTCCAGAGGGCAAGAGGGGGCATTTTGGATGGGAGGCCACAGCATCCTGCGAGAGCTGGCTGGAGGCAGAGGTGAGCTCTGGGCCTGCCCACAGCCTTCTTCTGGCATGGCGCTGTGCAGAAGCTTGGTGGGTTTCTCTTCAACTATCTTCCTCCTGGCTTCAACAGGAAGGCCTGACCCACAGTCAACCTACTTCTAATCCTGGCATCAACTCAGCAACTTTTATTTCCACTCGGAGTCCTGCCAGCTCTGTTCTTAACTATGGACACAAACTGCACAGGCATTTCCTGTTCCAGGTGGTTTGGAGCAGAAAGCCAGCAGGCGTGGGCCGAAGATAGGTGGGGTGAAATTCTTCAGGAACTGCTCCCAGCAAATGTGAGAGTAATTCAAAGTCACACTGGGTTGACTTCCAAAGTGCCCAGCCCTGAATGGAAACAAGGCCTGCTGCAATGAACTGCAGAAGCATATCGAGCGTAGAACGCTGTGGGGCACGCGCTTGTCTACGTTCCAGGCCCTGGAATACCAGAATTATGAGTTTTGGATAAGATAAGAGGACCAAGTCTGGTTCCAAGCTCCCACAGAAGTACAATGCTTCTGGGGATTCGGCTGTTTGGAGACATTTAAACCAATCCCCTTGTAATAGACATCTGTTCTCTGTAGGAACAGTGGGAAGGCGTAACACGTGTCCTCCAGTGAAAAATCTTCTTCCTTTGCCCATCTGACTCTGATGGGATGCCATGGAGCCATTCTGTGAGGCTCCACACCCCATAGCTAATGCAAGGGCTTTGCACACATCACTAAGCCTCGCGGAGCCCCCGTTGGTCCCGTGTGTGGTAAGAAGCAATGCTTTGGAGCACCTTTGGGGCTAGAAGGGATCTGGTCTCTAACACACAGCATGGCCCAGGGGATATTACTGTTATCAGCAGGCTATCAAAGAGATGGTCATTAAGAGCTAGCTGTCAGGGCTGGGGATTTAGCTCAGCAGCATAAGTGCCTGCCTTGCAAGTGTGCAGTCATGAGTTCAATCCCTGGTACGGATAAAAACGAAAAAGACAAAAAAAAAAAAAAAAAAAAAAAAAGAGCTAGCTGTCCTAGGCAGTATCCAACACTCATTACCTGCTGACCCTAAAGAGAGTCCTAGTGAAAAGTTCATTTTTACCCAAGAACTAAGGTAAGGATTTGACTCTACTATTGCCACAGAGAAGCAGACAGACAGAACACCTTTGTTTTGCTGCCAGGCCCCTAGGACTTGGATCAGGCCGAGGAGTGGCACTAGGGAGACTCAGAAGCCAGGAAGCCAAAGGGCATATCTGCACAGGTGCCTGCTGGTACCTTAAGTTGCTCTCAGAACTGAGCCAGCTCTCAGGATAACCCGATTGTGATTTTTTAATAAGAGTGAAAGGTAACTTCAGGTTCCCATGGAGGTCCAGTGCCCCTTGGGGCTGGAAATACCATTCCCAGGTAAGAACGGTTCATCCTTGATGGACCCGCTGGGAAGGCTCATGTTTGGGGTGACTCTAGGTGACAGGACTTCTGATGCTCAGGTTAATGAAGTCAACCCTATTTCCTGGGCAGAAAGAGGCGAGGTGGGCTCCGTGAGAGTCCAGTACCCAAGTGCAGCCCAGGACTGTTTCAGACAGCGCCTATGAGCACCTCGCATTTGTAGAGTGGCAGCCAGGACAGAGACAAGAGAATCATAAGCGAATTATGAGCTACACTTCCTTCCTTCTCTCTCTCTCCTTCCCTCCTTCCCTTTCTTCTCAAACTGCACCTGCAACACAAGCTGAGCCATCAGAATATAAAGGAAGCTCAGGAGTCAGGGGTGCTGATACAAGAGCAACCTGCTTAGCCAGGTCAGGACCAGGGATAGGGGCTGGCTAAAGGGCCCAGGGAATAGCATCTCCATCCCAGTGAACCAAAGAAGAGGTAACCTCTGGGTAGTTTTTCCCTCTTCAGCCTGCATAATGAATACTCATGGGTTTGACTCAGCGCTCCAACCTCCCGGATGGGATGCTGGCGTACCAGGCCGACCTTTGTGGGGTCAATAGCAAGACTGGAACTCGGAACTTCAGCACATGCCGGGTCTTCTCTAGCTGAGGAGAGTTTTCACTAGATGTTTCTCTTACTAGGCTCTAAACATGGTTCTACTGTAGAATCTAATCCCACAGAGAGATGTAGGTGTTTGTGCTTGAAGTTAGTGGGGCTAATAGAAATGTGGGCTACACAGAACTCCAGGAAAATCAGCATGGTTCTGCACTTCCATCTGACGGGAGGCTGTTGCTCTTTCCCCAGCAAAGTCACCCTCAATGCCATCAACAACATGCAGGGACTCACGCAGGTGGGGCAAAGTCACTCTGTGAGCTAAAGTCGCGTGGGGTCCTGCTGGGTGATTCTGGGAAACTTATGCTACTCCAATGCTTATAGCTTTTTGCACTCTTCTGTCCTGTTCCTTCCTGTCCAAAGCTGGTGGTTCTAATGGTTTGTGCTCTTTCTCTTAGACCACAAGTTAGACCACACTTAGTTGCATGCGACAGTGCTGTTTGGTACATTCTGAGTACCGAGTATTACAATGAAAGTGCAGGTGAAAACTGAGTTGACCCAGGAGAAAAACGGTGGCCAAAATTTTCTAGCCTAATTAGAAAAATCAACTATCAGAACAGTAATTGTAAATCAAATCACTTTTGTTTTACCCAGAAAACTGTGAGCAGGTTTATCTTCTACCACGCGGATTCTCCGAGCTCCAGCAGGAATAATAGCAGCTTCTATATAACCTGTGGCAACAAAAAACATACAGGTGAACCACGCCCCAACCTGGATTAGAGGCTGACATGGTATCCCCTTCCCCCATCTCCCCTATCACACGAGCTATGGTATATTCAGAGACTGCAGGCTGGCAGGGTTCTGAAAACTCAGTTAACTCAACTAATGTGGAGTGCTTTCTTCCATATCCAGAAACTCTTGGGCCCCCATTTTCCTAGGAGTGTCATTTGCATGTGTTCTAAACTGAATTAAGACCACCCCCTTCCCTGGAATTTATAAGGTGAAATCCTAACACCCAGTACCTGAATGTGATCTCAGTTGAAAATAGCACTACTACAGACGAAGCTAATTAAGATGAGATCATGCTGGAACAGGGGAGCCCTTAGCCCAATACGACAAAAGACCTTTGAAAAAGGGGAAATCTGAACACAGATAGGGCCACAAGAGAACACCAAGAGAACATGACGGCAAAGACTGCTTTTTCCAAGTCAAGAAACACCAAGCATTCCCAACAAACCACCGGAAGCTAGGAGATAGGCATGGAACAGATTCTCCCTCGCAGCCTCAGAAAGAGCCAGCCCTGTTGACACAATCTCACATTTCCAACCTTCCAGAATGGTGACACAGTAGGATGCTGCTGTTGATGCCATGCAGTTTGTGGCCCTTTGCCACAACATTCCTAGCAAACAATACAGCCTGGAATCCCACATGAATGGTGCCTCCCAGGTAACCGAGGGAGGAGTTCTTGGGTCTCATTCATCTGTTGGAGGTTCTTTCACTCTTTGTTGTAGTTGTACTTTTCTCCAAAAATCCATCACATGGCAGAAGCCCAGCAACTTGCCCTATGACAAAACTACTGCCTTAACCCTGTGCACCTTTCCTAGTCCCACTGTCTCCGGTCATTTCTGCAAGTCTCGTGGTACATGCTATTGTCCGCTTCCTTCATTATTCCCAAGCAGAGGGGGAGCTGCACATAGCCTAACTGTGTAGAGGTTACGGAAATAGCTACAGGGTTTAGTTATGCATTTTCCAATGCTAAAAAGTCTCTACTTTTATTATGAAAACAATACACACTGCAAGTAACAACTGACCTACATCATCACACTAAAAGGCAGTAGCATACATATGAAACACTGATGTCTTTTAAAAAGATACCGACTACACTCTATCTCAGCCATGTGATTACAGTTCAAGTGCCTTTGTAGTGCCAGGGACCAGAAACAATGCAATGATCTCAGAAGAGGCACAAGGGCGCTGGATTAAGTACAATACCGCTCCATGATGCAAGCTCTTAACACTCAGGATTAAAAGAGAACTCAATGTGACAAGTGATGCCTGTCACACTCTCCCAACAAACATCTCTTCACTGGGAAGCATTGCTATGAATGGTAACTATACAACCTTGTTTCCTCATTACCAGAGGAGTGATTATTTTGCATTTGAATATAACATGGGCTTACATTACTTATACAGAAACACAGAATGCATAACATCTCATATACAACATTGTCCACAGTATAATCACAGTAAGTAATATTTATTACCATATTAAGAGTTTTATTAGGAATGGAGATTAACTTTCACCATACTCCTCAGTCTCTAAGTGCATTCTTTTTTCTCTTGCCTTATAAATAGTACAATTATGTATTCTAAAAGTATAATTTCTAATATCAAAACTTCAGAGCCCTAGAATAAACCTTACTTGGCCATCTTATATAATTTCTAACATGCTACCTTCTGTTATGTTTAAAACTACTATTAATGACTTTATAACTTTTATAATATCATTTGTAAGAATGGTCTGCAATTATTGTGGTGGGGGTTTGGTGTTAGCATTATTCTTGCTTTAAGAAAAAATAGTTGCTTCTGTAGTAATTTGTATTGACTTTCAGTTTTATGGAGAGCACGGTCAGGAATTTTTCCATTTGTTTCAAATGAGTTTTAAATTATTTATAGTTTAAGTAAACTTATCACAATTTCCTCTATACTTGATTCCCCTTTTTCTTATTATCATATTTTTACATTTTCCCACCCTCTCTTACATTCAGTAGATGAGCAAACAGCAGAGGAATAAGCTATTTAGTTTTTTATCTTTTGCAAAGGCAATTTCCACAGTTGCTGTAGTCTTGGTTAAGGATGAATTTAATGTTCGTTATGTGTTCTCTTGCCAATTTTGCTAAACTTATTGCTATCTCACTTGAAATAGGCTTGTAGAAATATTTTCTGATCTATAATATAGCAAAATATTACCATTCACTGTCTTCGTGTCCATTTGGCTGGTATAAAATTGTGAGTTAAGCTTCCTTTCTCTGAGGCTCTGCAGGAGCATCTCTACTGATGAGGACCAAGAAATCTGAGGACAAGCTGATACTTCCACATTATTGCTGCCTAAAATTTGGATGTGATGCTCAAAGAATTTTTACCTTTAAATCTTGACATAAGGCTAGTCACAGTTTGGCATCAGCTTTTTGTGGGACATGGGCCTTTTTGTTAGTACAGCTATCCTTCAGTATCTGCAGGGAGTTGCTTTCGGGTAGCAGGTGGACCATCTGTCTATAACCTCAAAGCCTCCTCCATCCTTTAAATCATCTCCAGATGACTTGTAATACTTGGTACCATGTAAATGCTATACAAATACTGTTACATTCTATTGTTTAGGGACTAAGGGACAAGAACAAAGCATTTTCACATTTAGTACAGATACAGTTTCAGAATGAGTAATTCCAATCTCTAGCTGGTTGACTCTGTAGACACAGAACAAACATATATAAGACTAATTCCATATTTAAATTTTATCTGGTGTTCTTCAGGAGGGGCATCAAATTATAGATGATTGATCTCCTGTAACCTCCCCAGTCTTCGTTTTATCTCCTGTTCTTTTGGCTACTTTTGCTCCGCTCATGTTTGAGAGGTCTGTACTCCAGGCTTCCATGTGACTTCAGCCGTGTCAGTGTTTATTTCCACATGGACTTGGTTTCTGTGCTGAATTCGCACACTTCTTTCCTTCACTGTGCTAAGTTTCATCTCCCTCTGTCACTTCACTGTGTCACTGTATCTTCCTTGAGCTATTGTGTCTTAGCTGTATATTCTTATTTTATTAAGACCATTGATGAATCAGTTTTTTGAATTGATGACAAAAGTTTGGTCATAATTTTTACCTTTTCCTTTGTGACCTCTTGCCGGTGGGTATTCCCTTAAGCCAAGCACTTGTTTTCTTTGCCTTTTTTACCACTTTCCTGTTACAGGATTCTTACCTAGATCCAGTGCTAGATCCAGTTCTCTCATAGTTTTAAGGGGAAGAAGATTCAATTGTACTGGCTACTGACAGGAAGCAAACTGTGTGGTAGGAAGAGAAAGGACAGCATGGCAAGGTAACAGGACTATCAAAAGACAATAAATTGGATAAACAAACAACTAGAGGAAATCAGTAGAAACCATGAATGCCAAACTCAGACAAGAAATGGAATCAATGGAACAGATTCAAACAGAAATGCAGATTAGAACATTGAAAGTATATATAGCAGACTTAAGGCAAAGACAGAACATCAGATCTAGAAAACAGGAGCAAGCTAGCAACCATCAGAAGAAAGATATCTTAAAAATCACAAAAGACCATGAAAAATCAATCCAGAAACTACAGGATGAAGCAAAGAACAACAACACAAGATTGACTGGAATCAGTAAGAAAGCTGAGACAACACAAAAGTCATTAAAAATCTCTTCACAGAAATCAAGGCAGAAAACTTCTCAAAAGTGGGCAAAGAATATGACATACAAATTAATGAAGCATATAGAACTCCAAATAGCCATGAGCAAAATAAATCTACAGTGAGACATATAATAATCAAAAGTATAGAAATTCAGCACAACAACAAAATATTAAAAGCAGCTAGAGAAAAAAAAAGTATCATCTGCAAAGGAAACCCCTTAAGAATCACAGCAGACTTCTCAACACAAATCTTAAAATCAAGAAGAGCTTAGAGTGAAGTATTTCAAGTCCTACAAACACAATCTTCAACCCAGGTTGATTGTTGGGAGCAGGAGCCAGGGGTCCGGCAGTGAACGGGTGTGGGCAACCACACACTGAAGCTGGACCTCAATCAGTTCCTCATCCTGCAGTGACCTCAGCCTTCTAGACAAAGCATCGCGCTGATATTAACCTGGGAAAAGCTTCATAACATAAACAATAGAAGTTTCTCACGGGCCCAAGAACATGTTTACCTCCTGGGCTGAACAACATAGAAGTTTCTCACAGGCCCAGGAGCATGTTTACCTTTGCTGTGTGCACAAGAAAGTGTCCTGAAGTGACTTGTACTGCTCTTTGTTTTGAAACATTATAAAAACTCTGTAGTCCTTCAATAAATCGCCTTTTGCCTCCTGAGCAACTGGTCTCCCTGTGTCTTCAGTCTCTCGCCTGACTCCTTCCCTGCGCTGGCCGTGGCACCTGGCAGTTGATGAATCTCACAAAACTGTCTTTCAAACTTGATGGAGAAATAAGATATTTCCAGGACAAAGAACAAATGAGTAAATTTATAACCACCAAAGCTGCCCTACAGAATGTTTGTTGAAAGACATATTAGAAAGAGATCATGAAGACCACAAATGCAGGAATATCAATAGACAGAAGCCACCAGGCAGGGCAAGCAATTGAGCAGAGCAGAAAGACCGAACAAACAACAAGGAAACAACATGAAAAAGAAAAGCCAATATGTATCAGTTATAACCATCAAAATAAACCACCAATCAAAAACAACAGGCAGAATGGGTCATGAAGCACTAGGCAACAATATGCTGCATTCAAGAAACACAACTCAAAAGAAAACTCATAGACTAAAAGCCAAACAATGGAAAACAATTATCCATGGCACAGGAACCCAGAAAAAAATGGGGGTAGCTATTTATTTGCAGACAATGTGAAGTTTAAACCAAAACTGATCAGAAGAGACAAAGAAAGGTCGCTACACACTTGTCAAGAGAAAACTTCAAGAGGAGATAACAATCATAAATATTT